GGATAAGAAAGCCATTTAGGGGTAAGTGAAGTGTCAGAACATATTTGGGCTGCTTGGATAATCAGATAAAAGAGCAGAATCTGCTCAGACTTCAGCTGTGGAACATATTAGTTTTCCTCTTTGCCTTCGAGGAACACCTGTTCAGAGCCGCCCCAAGCCATTCATGCCACCAGGAGCGTCGATGCCCTTCGATTATGCGTTTAACCCATCTGGTTCCAAAATGATTATTATTCGACAAATACATGTAATGATGCCCTGGTGAGAAATGGAATGGTCTGGGCCCTGACCTCAACTCGTTAAACACATGTGAAACCAGCTGGGCATATTATACACAGCCTTATTGTATACTGAGTGATACAATCCGGGTCATCATGGTTCAGGATTATTTAAAGGATTCGGCCCTTTCAAGTGAGTGAGTAACGTCATATCAGCAGGAGAGAAACATAGAAACAACAGAAACCATGGAGGTCATCCAGAGGCTTGTACTTGTTCTGTTGACATTTTTCTATGTATCCACGTTTGGCTGAACAGCTGTTTGTTTAGCGCCTTCCTTTGTTGCGGGTAGTAAGGCTTTTCTGTCCACCAATTAATGGATGTTACCATGTTAGGTCAATAGCCCTGTCCTAGTCAAATCGTACCATTATTCTATAGTCCTCTCTTACAGGTAAGACCATAAAGTGTGCGGTCTGGTTTGGCTGTATGGGAAAGTTTGATAAAAGTATCTGACAGACCGAACCATATCTAACCACTGAGTGAAAATGAGGCTTTTACATGAGTGAGCACCACAATCACACTAAACAGATGCTGGTTAAAGACACCATCCCACAGTGGTGTGTAACCAACCTGGTAACCAGCATGAGGAGAGACCAGGCAGTTATAGTAGCTAAATCTGGTTTGTTCCTGTTTGGCCGTGACTCCGTCCTGGAGAGAAATATCAGCTCTGCTGCTCCCATCAACACATTTTTCAATAGGTGTTTGAGCTTGGCCTGTTTTTCAGTATAGTCCTGTTTCTCTGACTGTGACTGGCGGGATATGCTCTCTTTCATCCTCTGACATGGGTTCAGAATCAGAATCAGAAATAGTTTAATAATCCCAGAGGGAAATTACTTTTGTTACACGCTCCAGTTACAGTTTTATATAATATATACACACATCCAACTATACAATATAATATAATATATACACACATCCAACTATACAATATAATAAAGATAAAAAATAAGATTAAAAAGAGATCAAATATATACACATATAGCTTTTTTGTATATATATATATATATATATATATATATATACATATATACCAGGCAGAGCTGGTCTGCCTGGCTGTGTGTTTCCTGGACCAGGTTTCTTCCTTTTAAAAGGGAGTTTTTCCTCTCCACTGTTGCTACAAGCATGCTTGGTCTGAAAGGTTGCCTTCGAGACAATGAATCGATGCAATCAGCTGATTTTCTGTAGAAAACTTTGAATTAGTTTGACTGTATGATCTGGTTTAATTTTCTCTGTAAATTGCCTTGAGATGACATGCGTTGTGAATTGGGGCTATATAAATAAACTGAATTCAATTGAATTTAACTTATAGTTGTTTATAACTGTCTTATTTCCAAGGTTTATACCAGTGGATTGTGGTATAGAGAGAATCCACTGGTAGAAGCAATCGATACTTGATAAATTATATGTGGCTGAAAAACAGCATTTGCAGCATATTTGGTCAAAATAAAGGTTTTTATTTTTTTCACCTAAGTAGAGTTGGTTTAAAACTTTATTTAAATTCTACCAAAGAAATCCCTATATCTGAATTAAATATTACAATATCCTACTGTTTAATTATACATATAAAGACCCCGATGAAAAGGCACATAGACCTGCTTTAGATATTTCTGTATTCTTATTCCTCTCTTTTTATCCATTGAATTAGTGTGCCAGTTTTTGAAAAGATTACAAAATGAAGGGGTGAAATTAAACATGAAAGTTAAATTAAACTTTAGTTTATGTTAATTGGGAGTGAACATGACTGTTCTTGACTATGTCTTTCTTTATAGAAGGACCACTGTAGATGGTGCGTCAGACTCAGTTTAGCTTAAAGGAAAAACCTCAATATTAGTCAGCCCTGAAGATTTATTTATTATTTTATCTTTATCTATAATAATAGAAATAGAAACCCAATTTTAATATAGCTGTTATATGTTGGTTATATATTTGGACAGACTGGCGATCTGTCAAGGGTGTACCCTGCCTTCCGCACATAGGCTGCTGGAGATAGGCACTGGCCCCAGTCACAGATGGCATTAGGCCATAACTAAATAATAGCCAGTTTTCTAGTTGGTATTGCATTTGAATAGATGGTTTGGCCCTTGGCCCTTTTCTTCCATTAGATATGTATTTAAATCTCGACTGTTCTTGTTTAAAACTAGTCATCAGAGGCAGTTTTAATGTATAAAACTGTTATTTTCCAGCATTTTTGTGAAAATAACTTGTCGCACTGGTTTGAACAGTAAGAAAATGTTGATTGGTGTAATTTTTTTTGCAGCCTGGCCTTTATATTCTGTTCCCAGTTACAAACTCACAATATAGAAATATCAATATTCAAACACATGGAAACTATTCATCATCTCTGAGCTAATGAAGTCAACATTTTATTTACAAATAGTGTTTCTGTATAATACATCTGTAATCTGTAAAAGAGACCTTTTATCAGAGATTAAATTTTTAATTTATAGAATTCAGGCAATTGGTTTAATAGTTATTTTTACATGGATACTGTCACATATAGGAGTAAAAGGAAATTAGTTGGCAGAAAATTATGCAAAACAAGCTACAAAAAAATCATTATATTGATATAATAATACCATTTAGTTAAGAAGAAATGAAATATGTTATTGAACAAAAGTTTAAGGAAATATGGCAAAAGCAGTGGGAAGAGGATAGAACTGGAAGGTGGCTTTACAGTATTCAAAGAAAAGTTGGTACAATGAGGAGAACAGGAAGAAATAGAAAAGAGAACACCATTATATCCAGATTACATTTTCATCATACAAGGTTAAATAGTACATTACTTAAAATGAGAAAACACCCAACAGTAAATAGTGATTTTTTTTTCAAGAAGAGACAGTAAAACATGTTTTGTTACTCTGTTCTAAATATTCTGTGTAGAGAAGGAAATTAGTTAGTCGATTACAAGAAAATAAAATGCAATTAAATATACAAGATATTTTGGACAAATTTTCTACTTCTAAATATTTTTTTTATTTAATTAATTACCTTAAAACGAAACTGATAGAAAGAATATAAGATTTA